AAGCCAAGCATAGAAAAAAAACCTCATTGTATCACAAATGCTTTCAAGTGAGGGCATCCCTTTTTCTTACTTTAAGTCTTAGCTTAACTGTGAGATCTGTTGTGAGATGTGTCTAGATGTCCACTTGATGGTTCTCATTGGTATAAAATACTCACGAAGAGACAAGAGATGAAAATTTTGTAAATGTTGTCATGGCTACTCCTAACAATTTATTCAACATATATCTGCATATACCTTAAATTCCTCGGGGTCTCTCATAATTTCCCTGCATATTACAGCTTCATTCCGTTCCTATTACAGTACTCATTTATTTGAGAGAGAATAATTGATTGAGTATAAGCATGTGTAACTCAGAAATGAGAAGAGTAAAACCTCCCTCCCTCCCTCCCTCCCTCCCTCCCTCCCTCCCTCCCTCCCTCCTTCCCTCCCTCCCTCCCTCCATCCATCCCTGCCTCTCTTCCTCCCCCTCCTTCTTCCTTCCTTCCTTCCTTCCTTCCTTCCTTCCTTCCTTCCTTCCTTCTTTCTTTCTTTCTTTCTTTCTTTCTTTCTTTCTTTCTTTCTTTCTTTCTTTCTGTCTTTCTTTGATCAGATTGGTAGCAGAACACAGTGCTTCACATGATCTCCCATAGGGAAATTGAAGAACTCATCATGTACTGATCCTCTTTGTCACAGAAAATAATTAAAACCCTTGTCACAGTGGTATATGTGCTGCCATCCTATAGTGATTCTGAATGAATTTTCCATAAATTAAAAAAAAAACCTTACAAACTCGAATTTAAAATTCACATTACCTCTAATTAAAAGCAGCTTGGATCCAAAGGGTGCAACATTCACCTATATCATGTTAAGAGTTGACTATCTTGGTACATAGTGAAAACTATTCATTTTCTTTCCCTATCTTTAGCGTTTCCAGTATCTAAAAAGTTTGATGGGAAAGGAACAAACACATGGTTTGTTCAGCTTTAGTAATTAACTTAACAAACAAGCATGAAACAATTTTCATATGCTGGGTACCAATTATCAGGTGTGTTTATATTGAAGACTTAAAAATAAACACTCACTGTTGAAGAAAATAATGTTCCCTTCCAAAAGGAAGACTAACCTTAAAATGATAAAATGATTGATAATGGATGAGCTTGGACAAGGTGAAGATGTTTAAATATCTCTTTTAAGAGCGGATATTTTGTGGAAGAAAGTGAAATGAAACTTATGCTAGTCATAGTCACATATGACATCGTCACGTAGTCACACAGAAAACAGAAGATTGCTTCATAAAAAATTCCATATCCACAATGGAAAACACTAAGGACTTTGTACAACTCATTTGATCTCAAACATGACAGAGCTTTGATATGAATATAAATTCTGGTTAGTTAAATAAAAATATTGAAGCCCACATGATCAAATGACGTAGACAGTCTAGTTAGGGAAATTTTTTTGTTGAACTGCTTTCTGTTTTCTCATCTGCTAGAAACTCAGTATGAGCATCCACTTTTAGAAATTATACATTCTGAACAGTTCTCAGAAATCAGTGCTTAGAAATGTATGGATTTTGTGTCTTTTTTTTTTAATTACCAAATTGCAAAAGTCTCTTCATGTTGTAAACAGTCTTGTATTATTTTTTGCAGCTCTTGTTTTTGACTTATTTTAAGCTGGCTAACATACTGAATATTTTAAGAAATAAAAGAGCTTAGGGTAGTCTTCCCACATACACTTGAGTAAATAATATGGAAAATATGTATAATTTTATGAGAGGCAGTAGGTACTCTACGTTATTGCATTATTCTGTATGTCACCCTTTCACCCCACCTATGACCCAAAGTTGTAGCAGAGATGAAGCAGTTTTAACTTAAGAAGAGTAGCATCTGGATGTTTAAAAAGAATAATACAATTAAGATTTATCACCCAACAATCAATCACATATATAACATTAGCATCTAAATATCATATTTAAAATCAATAAACCATTATTTACTGTAGTATACAGACATACCATTTAAATAATGTAACATATACACTTTTCAATAAGAATAAATGAGTAATTAAGTCAAGAAAAATATCATATAATCTTAATAATGCAAAAACATGTAAATGAATATCTTAAATTCTAAAACTCCTCAAAGAGTTATTTTAAATATTTAATTTCAAACTTGTCCATTTACTTGCTTGCATTGTATTAGTAATATTATTGTATCAATCTTCATTGGATTTATTATGAAATGGGGGAAGCTACAAAAAAACCTTAAGAAGAATAACTTAACAATTCTTATGTACTTTGTTACGTCTTTGGCAATATGCAGAATTATTATAAATACTATATTTAAGATAATACTACTATAAATGTTAACAATTTGTAATAATGCCGTATAATTTCAAAATACGGTAAACATTAAATTCCAAAGGGCAATGGCATTTTCTCTTGTGTCTTAGACATTACCCTCTTTAAATTCATCTTGCATTGCAAAAATAAATACAAGTTAAATTAGATACTAGCTAGAAAGAATACATGTGATGAAATCTGGTAAAAAGAAAAAAAAGAAAAATGAAACTGGACACTTGGGAAAGATCCTCATGCTTTCATGGTTTAAAACTTTCTTAGCTTGAGCTAGTTTCCTACCATTTATTGTAATAATTTATTTACTTTAACCTGCTCGGAGTTTTCGACTGTTCTGAACAAGAACCACTGGTTGTTTCACATATAACAGCTGTGAAAATAAAACGGCTCATATCAGCAAGTGACGTGTTCTGAATAGCTGTGGTCCTTACTGCTGCTAGGGCTTGCAATTGGATGTCATCCCCATGCTCAGCATTTTACAGCATTAAGACAGTAACACATGATTTCTGAAAAAAAGAGTCTTTTGAAAATGCATTGCTGAATTTAAATAACACATCACATGCAACATTGAAATCCTGTGTGAACAGTCTATAGTATATAAACCACTAATGTTTAAACAGAAACACATTAGCAAGACAGTACACCCTAATATCACAAGTTACTTTTGATTCAGACACATTTACTAATAATTTAACTTTTACTCATCCAAAAAGTTACATAATAACATGAATGTTTCACATCAATCTTTTTTTTATCTGCAAGAAAATGAAAACTGTGAAAATGTTATTTGGCTTGAAGTGCTAAATTACATAAGAATATTTATCACAATCTTATCAGTATCTGTTCTTCCTATTGTGCTTTCAAAACTTTTCTCTTGAATTTTTATTTGTACTATTTCTATCACTAGTATCAACATTATTTTTCTATGATGTAAGAAACCTTCAGAAAGAACAAGTAACTACTTTTCCACCACTCAAACCTTCCAGCTCTGTCATTTTATTACTGAAAACTAAGGATTAGTTTCATGTCACAAGAACCAAAATCAGGGAAAATTCTCTGGAGATTAGAATTAGAAACAGTTAAAAAGTAACTTTTTTTATGCTAATGAACAAACAGCTTTCTCATTAAGCCTCAAAATCAATAGCCAACCTTTAAGTTGTTACAATCTCATTAATAAGATTAATTAATTAGTAGTTCATCTTAACTATCCCAGAAAATTCTTTCCGATTGTATTAGTAATTAATAAATAATAACATAAAATATTTTTCTTTTTTATTTTCAAATATGATAGAAATTTTGATAGTAATACATTAACTACTACTATTAACATTATTCCTCTTTTAATAAAAGATTGGAAGAATACATGATCAATAAGTGGTAGTGAGATCACATCCAAAGCTCCCACCTCCTCTGAATTTTTTAGAATGACAAAACCCATAATATTTCAATCTGAAGCTAAATTTCAACTAGAAAGTATGATCAATAACTCAATAGAAGTATGTCAGCACTGTCTTTCAAAATTCTAATCCACTAAAAATCCAAAACATTTAGTTTCTTTTAAGTTCAGACACTGATAAACAGTTCTTGTAATGAAAAAAAAATCAGGTATCGTCTATATAATTGGCAGCTATCCTCACACTGCATAAATACAAATTTAAACTCTGTTAAGTATTGATAAGATTATTCAATTGCTAGCAATACACATTGCTGCTGTCCAGAAGTGGATTACTTATTCATTTCTATGTGAGAAAAGTACATAGACTATACAGGTGATGACCCATGAAATTAAGCATATTAATATTCCAAGGCAAGCCTTAGTACTGACTTAGGAAAGTGTATTGTTTTCATGAAGTAGGCTGCAATCCCTTGTTCAAAGTTTTTCCTCTTTGAAAAATACATGTTGTATTTACTGATCAGCAGAAATCCAACGATATTGATTTTCATCAGCATTTTGTGAAGGATCGTTGGCATTCTTATTCTCTATGAAATTTATCTGGATACAGGATTAATTCATGCTGCAAACATGCATTTGAATAGTTATATGCTGAGTAGAAGGAAAGCAAAATACCACACTATGTGTTGTTTAGCACATGAAGGAAAGCTTTTAGCAGCAAAGTTTTCGAATGTTGGAGGTGAGGGATTGCATATACATTCTTAATAGTTTCCTCTGGAGCCTACCAGACCACATTAGCAACAGAGGAGACTAAAGACAAAGTTTAAGTTTCCAAAGGATAAGAATATTTTGCTGAGCATATATATATATATATATATATATATATATATATATAAAACCACTTTAAAATCTGAATAACTTAGTTGGCTAGATACACTTATTATAGACATGAACACAAGACAGAAGGCAGAAACCAATGCTTGTAATTGAACTTGTACCAAACATACTTCTGCCTTGCTCACATCCTCTTCAAGTCAAAACTCAATCAATGAGTATATTTTCTCTTCTTGACCTTGGATTCTTTCTTATTTTATGTCCCATTCACTCTGTCATAAGCTGCAAACCAGGACCTGCTCAAAGCCCAAAGTCCCTAAAGTGTCTGTAATCAGTCCTATGAGGACTTGGGAGAAACTCCTCACACCTTTACTGTATGTACCCCCAAACAGTGAATACATAACCCATTCTGCTACCCTTGCCCTGGCTGGTACTTACCTGATGCTCCGCGGGTTCTGCAGATTTCACCAGGTGTTTATCCTTGTACAAAGACCAAAGACCAATGTTGGGCAGAAAAATTAAAGCCACAGTGAATAACAAAGTCATTTGCAGAAACCTCTTCTGTTTCCTCTTCATTGCAAATGGTAACAGTGGAGAAAAGTTAGAGTTGTCTCCCAGACTGCTTCTTGTGTTTAATACCAAAGTCCTTTCCTCTTTCCTGGGAAGCACCAGAAACTGAGAGGAAGCTAAAAACTTTTGTTGTGTGCTCAGCACCAATCTGCAGGGTTCAGAGGGAGTTGGCCATCTGCAGAACAAACGCACAGTTACTTTCCCCCATAAAACTATGACGACGGCATTATCTATTGGCTTAGAAATAAACGACTCAACTGAGGAAATCATTAAGTCTATTGACCTCCATTAATATAAAGCAGCGGAGTAAATACGATCGTTTCAGAGAATAATGATAAGTTATGAGGAAGTCAAGAGCATGCTAGATATATCAGTGAATAGGAGGTGTTTGTCTGTCGCTGTTTGCCCACCATCCCCCGCCCTTATTGTGGGAGGTCCGGGATGCAGAGTTTGAGACTAAAAGCGAGAACTGAATGGGAGGGAGTGGCTTGGTCCAGTCAAGTGTCTGGAAGAAAACTGTCCGCTTTTGACATTGGCACATCACCTTCCTTATCTTCCCCAAACAGCTTTTTCTTTGCTTGCTTTGGGATAACCCACCTGAACTCAAGTTCAACTCCCTCTGGAGCCAGCTTGTCAGGCAGGGTCCAGGGACACCATAACCAGGTCAGAACTATGTTTGGATAGGGGTTCACAAACTCCTGGATCTTCATGCGCTGTCAGAACCCTCCTCTGCAGGCAGCATCTAGGCAACCTGGGAACCTGGCTGAAAGGAGGCTACAGATGTCACAGGAGTCCAGCCAGGAAGTGCAGGCGCAAAGACATCCCTCCCTCTCGCAGTCCTGGGAATGAGATCCTCAGAGAAGTGTGCTCTCTGCCCATCAATCTCGTCGTCCCCTTCCTCCGCCGACGCTCTCACGCTCCACCGTTCATGTTACCATTCTTTTCCAGCAACTGAACGAACCCAGCGAAGCATCACCAGTACCTCCAGGGCAGTATTTCCGATCTCCACTTCAAGTCAAGGGACGGATGGCAGGCGGCGAATGTCAAGTATAACCGGGCTTTACAGGCAAGTGGGAGAGGGCGCGCGGAGATGAGTGAGGATGGCGAGAACGCGCGTGGAGCTGGCACCGGAGGCGTCCGTCTCCCGGTGGCTGTCTCTTGCCTGCTGGCGACGATACTGGTGCCCACCACGTGCGGGAGCCTAGAAGCCGGGAGGGGAGGGCGAGCCGTGGCCGGAAGGTAGTGGCCACTGCCTCGCTGCTACCAGATGCTACATAAACAAACCTAGAGGCTAGGGGGAAGGAGAGGAAGATGAAGGCGATGAAAGAGAAATCGATTTGCAGCTCCGGGATAATCGGATCCTCTCTTCTCGGGTAATCTCGAACCGGCAGGGAGACCGGTTCGTCTCTGAGCTCACCCGAAAGGGGCCAGGCCAGAAATTCCGGAGTCCAAGTCGCCCTGAGCGGGAGGGCATTGGAAGAATTCCTCCATGGTCCTGATGGGTTCGCAGCGAGGCAGGAGCGGCAGCGACAGCGAGCAGAGGCAACCCAGTCTGGGCTGGTCCCTGAGAGGAGGGTTTCCCCAGAACCTCAGAACAGATCAAGCCAGGTACGTAGCGTGGAGGGAGGAAGAGGAATCCCCCGCGTGGACCGCCTGGCTAGTGGCAGCTTCCAGACAACACTGTGGAAAGCACAGGCAGCTCCGCTGGACTCGGCCAGCACCTGGGGCCCAGGTTAAGATTTGTCTTCACTAACTGATGCTTCTCCACCCTAGCATGCCTGCACCTCCTGCTGCTGATAGCTGAGAGGTCTTCTGGTCCCTCGCTGAGCTCACACACCTCTCTCTGGTTAGCCAGAAACCTTAGAACTGAGATAACTCTCCAGCAGATGGGACCCTTCCCTCCCTGTAGAAAACTGATTCAACACACACAGGAGAACCTGTGGCCTCTCTAAAAAAATCTGTGTGTCTGCCTGGCACAGGATCCAGAGCGCCTAACTCCCGGTGTGAACTTAAGGAAGGTGATGGATGGGCTTGCTACGCTGCGCAGCGTCAGTCTGTCCAGAGCCTCCCAAAACACCCTGGCCACCTCTTTATTACAGTCTAGAGGGTGATGCTTGAGATATGGAGACTTTATTCCAGATGGCCTTCTCCTTCATTATTCCTTTTCCCTCCGCCCTCTCTCTCTTTTCCCTCCCCTGTCTTTTTTTTTTTTCCTCTTGTCCCTGTCTCCTCTATCCCCCAGACTCAAGCCTCTCAAGACCCTGATTTGATCTTGGAGAGTTAAGCCTTAAACTCTTCAGGTTATACATTTAAAACAAAACGGACTGGAACAGTAGAGATTGGCTCTAAGACTACACAAATAAAGCTTTATGTTGTAAGTACTTGTTCTCTGTGGATGACTTGCCATCTCAGAACAGTTTCAAAACACACTGAATAAAGATTTTGAATGTGTCCTTTCTGTAAGTAAAAGTAGTTTGCTTTACATTTTAAAGAAGTACAATTTGAAAATGCAGAAGGAAGAGAGTTTTACCACTGCTTCCAAATCACTCCAATGTATACTCTTACCTGTTCTGGGTAATTTTCAAATCCTGTTCTTCTGAGTTGAACAAGTTCTAGAACAGAAGAATTTGAAAGCCTAGAAACTATGTACTAAGGGAGAGGTGTCTTGGAATAAATTAACAGGCAAGAAAAGGTGTTTGGAGTACTATTTAGGTTTATTGGATTTTTTTTCACTTTTGGATACAGTTACTGATGATAACGTGGAAAGGGCTTAAAAGTACTTTGCTATTAAATAATAAAAACAACATTTTAAGCAATACCTCTTCTTTTATGACTTATCGAGATTCCTAAATCAGATATAGCAATACACAGAATTATTTGCCAATCCCAGGATGTGGAATTAAGTGATATATCACCATTTAAATGTTAGTAGATGAACCTGCATAAAGTATCCAGTCACAGATTAAAATTGTCAACAGTAAGTAGGTCTTATTATTTGTCTCCTGGCCAAGCACATGCAGAATACAAGTTAGACACTAGAAGAACATTTCTTTCAATATATATTTATAAATGTTATATAACATGTATATGTTCCACCTCTATATGTATATGTATATGTATATGTATATGTATATGTATATGTATATATATTTGTAACATTTACTTGTCGTGTGTGTGTGTATGTGTGTGTGTGTGTATGCAAGTAGTATATCAGTGAACCAAATTTATGCCTAGTGCCTGCAGAGGTCATAAGATCTCCCATAACTGGAATCATTAATAGTTGTCAGCTACCAAATTGGTGCTGGGATTTGAACCTGGGTCTTCTTCATGATCAAGGGAAGTGGTCTTAACTGCTAAGCCATCTCTCCATTCTCCTAGATGGCAATCATATTGTGTTCATTTGAGTTTACAGTAGGGCTCCAGGCCATCACTTTTACAACTCCCACATGTTAAACATTATTTATGTAATTTCTTTTTTTTCTAAGGCTGTTCTTTCTCATTCATAATTCTGTAACTGCATTATAAAGTTATGTAAATCCTCAGAAATAAGAGGAAAAAAGCACAAAAATTAGAGACAGATTTTATGTTGAATTTAAAAAACAAACAAAAAAAACACAAAAAAAATCCTAAATTATTTTTACTTTTATTGATTAATCCAGATTTATTTAATGCCTCTGAAGACATGGGTAGGCTTGTTTAAAATGAATATTAATACTAGTTCTAAAGCTTTAAGAAACATTTGCTTTATAGCATGTCAGTTCCATGTAGTTCTTTTCTTGTGATTCATATAGCAGCTTCAGGTAGTCACATCCTTATGTGCTTAGCAACAGTAAGTTCAGGAACACATGGAAGAAGACAGTTTGACCTTGAGTAACAATGGAAAAATAGAAGGAGTGAAGCTGTTCAGCCAGCTTTGGATGAGGTAAACAGGTTTTGCTCCTTACATATCTCTAAATAGAAACTTTTATGGCTTAAAACTAATTTTATCTTTCTGATTCTGTTTCAGTTGTTCTGAACTGGTCACTTCTGCTTCATGGAACAATGTTTAGTAACCTGGGTAAAGATGGCTAACAGTGGGCAGAGTCTGCTACTTTCAGGGTCATCCAAGGGGGACAGTCACAATATAGCCTCATTCTCCCACTTCTCTTCCACTTGGTAACTGTGTAAGACCTGAGCTGCTTAGAACGTGGTAGGCAGGATCCTATCAAGAGTATCTCAAGCACAAATTGTCTTTTTCTTTCCTTTTTTAAAAAGTTGGCTATTTTATTTATTTACATTTCAAATATTATTCCCTTTCCTGATTTCCCTTCCAGAAAGCCTCTATCCCATCCTCCCTCTGCCTGCTTCTATGAGGGTGCTCCCTGACCTACCCACCCACTTCTGCCTCCCTGCCCTCGAATTCCCTTACGCTGGGGCATGGAGCCTTCACAGGACCAAGGGCCTTTCCTCCCATTGATGTCCAACAAGACCATCGTCTGCTACATAAGCGGCTGGGGCAATGGATTGCTCCTTTAGTTGGTGGTTAGTCCCTGGGAGCTCTGGGGGACATTTTGGTTGATATTGTCTTTCCTATGGGTTTGCACACGTTTTCAGCTCTTTCAGGCCTTTCTCTAACTCCTCCATTGGAGACCCCATGCTCAGTTCAATGGTTGACTGTGAGCATCCACCTCTGTATTTGTCAGGCTCTGGCAGAGTCTTTCAGGAGACACCTGTATCAGGCTCCTGTCAGCATGCACTTCTTGGCATCCACAATAGAGTCTGGGTTTGGTGTCTGTATATGGGATGGATTCCCAGGTGGGGCAGTCTCTGGATGGCCTTTCCTTCAGTTTCTGCTGCACACTTTGTCTCCGAATTTTCTGCAGAGTGGAGCAATTCTGGGTTAAAAATCTGCAGATGAATGAGTGGCTCCATCCCCCCACTGGGCTCCTTGCCTAACCTCTGGATATAGTCTTAATAGGTTCTCCCTCCCCTTTGTTGGGCATTTCAGCTAATTTCATCCCTGTGGG